AGAGAGAGAGAGAGAGAGAGAGAGATAAGGAAAGAGAATAGAAAGGAGAATATTGAAGGGGGTCACGGGTGCTTACGCTAACAAATTAATGGCTTCACGAAATGAGACGTTAAGTGTATGGACATGAAACAGATGGCGCGAATTCGACTCCGCAAACAAGATTGGAAGGGAGGTGTGGGTTTTGGGGTAGTGCGTGAAAAAAAGGAGGTGGGAGAGGAAGGGGGTTACAAGTAAAAATAGCCACACCTTAATGAAAAACACTTCGGTTAGTTAAAGCGTCAAAGTTTTCCCTAAAGAATAACATAGTGTGTGTTAAGCGTCAAACATGTTGAACGGGAATTTTTACTTCTTTTTTTTCCCCCTTGCCCATATCTATTATAATGACGCCATCTGATTAGTAGAAAATGTGCGTATGATAATGTCTAATAGTGTATTACAGTATTACGTACATAATTGTTATAACATGTCACTGTTACAGATAGATGTTCAAGATAATTGTAGATGTATATCATGGATCTGAGAGCAATGATAATTTTAGAAATGATGGTGGTGATAAGCAATGATGTGAGATGGTGTTTATGTAAATAATTATTAAGAAGACATGCTTCTGTTAGATAAAAAGTTTTTATTTATGTTAGTATTAGTCCTATCTTCCTCTGCTCTGATGAGTCACGAAGGATGTGGGCATTAGCTATCCCGTTCCCCACTGGAACCATAAAGGGAAATAATATAATCTTATTATAGAGAGAATGATTGGTCTTTGTTACCAACACGACATGACATTCCATTACTTACTTACTATACTTTACTTCATGCTTCCTATTGTACCATCTTGGGCGTCGAAGGGAACGTATTACGGTTCCGAAAGAAGGAGAAAGGGTGGGAAAGATTGGAGGGAGGTGGGCAACTGACAGAACCTGGAGAAGATTAAAGAGATAATAGGTTAAATATGGAGAGGCATTGGCGGTGGGTGGACCAAAATTTGGGTGGGGCTTAGGTTGTTTCCACCTCTTTACTACCAAATAGCAAGCAATTAGAACTAAACAGTTCTGATTTTTCTACACTCGCTGTGAGCCACCGCGTTTTGAGAACCATTCAAACGAGAAGAGCCGCCTTTGTCTTCCATCTCTTTTTTCCAAGTTAGATTCTTCTGGATGAAAAAGTTGCCTTAAAAGTGAAATCGACGTGATTTATAACTGTTAAATCTCACAAACACAAACATGCACACACCGCACTTCAAACGTATTTCGTCTATGAGCTGGATAAGGCCGTGTAGTCGTGGAAAGTAGAACACACCTAACAAAGGTCCAATGAGCGCGCAGGTATCTGTGTCACTGGGGGAAAGCGTGTCGTGAACTTTCACTCCATTGTCAGGGCTAGAAGAGCGTGAGCCCTCAGTACAGTGTTTTATTTTCTAATCCTGTACATTTTTACAAGAAGAGTTTCATTACGAAATGGGCGTGGGAATAGGATCCTCATTTGCTGAGCCCTGAAGACTTTTGATTGGCTGTTAGGTTGCTATAGTAGTAAGCGGTGACAACAGTGATGGGACAATCAAGCAAGTTGGCAAGTTGGTCACGCTGTGGTCATTGCAGGTGATCATAAAGGTTTCAACTGCTTACCTCGTTATTTAAGAAACTTTCATTTACTTTGGGATATAGTTTGGGGGAGGGGGGGGGCTTCACTACCCACCACCACTGTGGGGAGGGGTAATACTTATAACATATTAAGGTGGCGGTTATTGGACTTTGGGTGAAAAGGTTTCACCTAGGGAGAGAGAGAGAGAGAGAGAGAGAGAGAGAGAAAGAGAGAGAGAGAGAGAGAGACAAAGACAGAGACAGAGACAGAGACAGACACAGACAGACAGATAGACAGACAGACAGACAGACAGATGAGTGGGGGGTGACAATGTTGTCTGTCTATCTATCTTTCTATCAATCCATCCATCCATCCACCCATCCATCCATCCATCCATCTACCCACAGACCAGAGCACCACCACAAGCCCCGCCCCCGAGCCAACCACGCCTCCTCTCCCCGAGCCGTGCCACACCCAGAGCACTGATTGGTCGCCCTGCTCCGTCAGCTGTGATGTGGGCGTGGCCGTGAGGATCGTCGTGGACTCGGTCACGTGCATGCACGTGCAGGAGAGGAAATTGTGCTACCTCAGGCCTTGTGGCCTCAATCTGACTACACACGTGAGTGATAGATAGATAGATAGATAGATAGATAGATAGATAGATAGATATATAGATAGATAGATAGATAGATAGATAGATAGATAGATAAATGGGTGGATGGATGGATGGATGGATGGATAGATGGATGGTAGACAAGTAGATGGATGGATGGATAATAGATAGACAGATGGATGGATGGATGTATGGATGAATGGATGGATGGATGGATGGATGGATGGATGGATGGATGGATGGATGGATGGATGGATGGGTTGACGGATGGATGGATGGATGGATGGATGGATAGATGGCTGGATAGATGGCTGGATGGATGGGTGGATGGATACATGGATGGATACATGGGCAGATAGATAGACAGATAAGTAGATAGATAGTTGGATAGATAGATAGATAGATAGATAGATAGATAGATAGATAGATAGATAGATAGATAACCAAAGCATTGTGTCATGTTCTGTCCATTGACTGCAAGACAAGACAAGGAAGGAAGAAAAAACAATCATATTGTTTGGATTATTCGTCGTCTCCTCCACCTTTTCAACTTGTGAAGTGAATTTTAACAGATCTGCTTTTCCAAGAGACAGATCCAGGGGAAGCTACTGCTTGTTTCTGAAATCTTTATTCTATTCCTATGGTTGTTTCCCCTGCTCTGCAGACCGAGAAAGAATATATCTTGTTACCATACCATCTAGTATAATAGTATTTGAGCACTTTATCAGCTCCATTCAGTGTATGCTTCTTCGGAAGACTAGAATGTTTTTGAGTTTTCTAAGGTCTGATGGGGTAGTAATGGTGATTGTAAAACGTATAGATCGTGCTATTTAGCGGGGATATACGCTATGCTAATGCTATTTATCATTGTTTTATCTTACCGTAATCTCATCTCGCCAATCTCGCCTCTTCTCATCTCATCTTATCTTGTCTCATTTCACCTTATCTCATCTTATCTTGTTTGATCTTGTCTCATCTCATCTTTCATCTTACCTTACCTTACCTCACCTCATCTCATCTCATCCCACCTCACCTCATCTCATCTCATCTCATCTTATCCCACCTCACCTCATTTCATCTCATCTTGTCGGTGGCCTAGTGTTGTTGAACGAGGATTTGCGCTGTACAAATGCTATCTATTATTATTATTAT